TATTCCAAGGCTCTTCCGGATGTCACTACTCCGGACCATGTCGAGACGCGTAAGGCCAGCGACTCGTCTACGAAAGCCCATTTCAGCAGCTTGTTTCTTCACTTCAACGACGCAAATATCAACGGCCTTGTCGGACGGCACAGAAGTAGCCCATCGAGATTCACAAGGCGCTTAGTGAGCTCTTGGTCGCTGTAGGGTTCATTAACCAGTGTCGGGTCCCACCTTGCCGGAGAGGCCTTTCTGCGGCATTTCCAGTAAGCTCACTATATATGAAAATTATAACAGCAAAACGGACGGATAATATGAAAAAATGAGTCTACATTTTTTTAGTCTAAAAGATTTTTAAAAAAGGCAGTGGAATCAATAATGCAGTAATTTAGTTTAATATTCGAGAAATCCTTTATGACATGACACCGCATATCGAGTTTATTATTTCTCCAACATTCCCAATCATGCTTGATCTGTCTTCACGCAGAGATGTTATAACACAACTGTTTTGTAATATAGGGCTCCCCTTGAAGATGAATCGAACATGATCGGAATGGAGAATACTATATAATAAATTTTACTTGGGATGTCATCCATAAATGGCTTCGAATAGCCTTAAAGATGTAGGCAGTGTACATAAAACACAGCCTCTGCAGATCGCCCTCATATTTATATTGAAAATTATGATGGTGAATAACTCAACCTGGAAGAGACTCAGAGAGGATGGGACTTAACAGTTTGCTTCTTCTTACGATACACAAAAGACAGTCATAACAATTTTTAGCAAGAAGTTTACTTCTAGAAAATGAGTCATTCGCCTGTTTTTTCTGAGAAATAAACCTGATTTGATTCGGAATGCTGGAAATCATGGAGCAAGTCAAAATCACTCATAAACTAATTGATAAGCAAAAATGCGTCACTACATTAAAATTTATTTATGCTTACTATTCCTTAGTTTTTGCTGGAATGACCTTCTGTTCGGTAGTCGCTTTACGCTTTCTCAACAGTTTATCGTCTTGTTCCCGATGGTACTTTTCAGATTTTTCCAATCTAAAGAAAATATTACTTTTTAAATTTCTAAGCAAGTTACTGATACCGGATGTAAAGTAAAGTAACTTAATTTACAGAGATATTGCGGTAGTGTAAGAAGGATGAGGATTATTACATTTGTTTGTACTGCAATATTGCACACAAGACCGCATCACCGAGTAACGGTGAACAAGCACTGGTTCGAGTATCAACAAAATTGCCGCTACCCGTTGGCAAACACAGAGAGAAAACAAATATAACCGCCACTGTCCGAGGTACCCATCAATAATGGCAAAAATTTTATCTTCGCTGACTGCGGAATCAGACAGCTGTCATTCTTGGTAGCACCCATCAGAGTTTTATTTTGTTTTCATTCAAAATTTGTTTTAGTAGTCAACACAAGAAAAGAGCACGCCACATTATACCAGTATAGACTGTTATTATCAACGTCATCTGCGGAATGAAGGTCAAGAACAGTCTCTCTGATGATATCCAACACTTTGGCTTTTCAGAATGATTTAAGCGATGCGGCAAAGGTCATGTTCCTCATCGCAAGTAAATCCGCCTCTAACTGCTGCATTAGGGTGCAATGTTAGTCTCCGACGCGGCTATGACCACATTTTGCTTCTCAGAGGAGAGTGGTTGTGGTGGTTTCTATTTTCACTCCAGAAGGTTTTCTCGAACAAGACAGACACAGGTCGCTGATTTCTTCATTCAGCATTCTCAGACCGGTCATCTCCAAGATCTTTCCATTCTTCATTCGATGGAACCATTACACTTTTAGAATGTTCCGATGACAGCGCTTCTGAAAAGTGCCCAACATCTTTTCATAGCACTCTAAAAGAGTTGATCTTTCAAAACTGTATATCAGGACTGAGAAGTCGGCGCCTTTCATTATCGCGATCTTTGTTGCTATCCGGATAGATCAGTCTTGTCGCATTTTAAAATGTCGCCCCAAATTCACAGATGCCAGCAACAAGCGCCGCTCTACTCTAACTAAACAACAAACTAACTTGCGTAGAACTCACGTGGTATGAACAAAACACAACTGAACTGAACCATCAGGAAGTTCTTTGAAGATATTCTCTTGGATACCTCAGATACCTCAAATAAGCAACGTCTGAAGAAGTTCACTAGGTAGTTCCTGAGATGTTCCACATCTTCAACTGCCTGGCATTCCACTTGAACGCGGACGACAAACGCGCCCCTTTCACGTTTTGAACTTTCGTGTTCTGTTAAGAGATATCATATCCAGTTTGACCGAGTGTTCGATATCACTAAAATCAATGAAATGAACTGACAGGAGAACCCTCGGTAAAGAGTAAGAAGCGTGTAATTTCCAGACAATTCAGTCCTTTAAAAGTACAACCGCCAACAGCGCACACTTAGGGGACACAATCTTATGTGAAAAGACAATTCATCTATCAGAATTCGGCACAAACGCAAATCTGAACGAGAAAATAAGTGGTGTAATCGACTAAATTATGAGTCAAATGCTCTTATCATCTTCTATAAAATGAACAACGCGCGAAGAGGAAACAGGCCAAAATGTGGTGTTGCTGACAACAACACAGTTTTTGATACCAACCATAATATATACCTGTCACCCTCTCTAGGTTTACACGCGCACCACGCCTACCTTGTGAAACCCAGAGGGATCATTTCATAGCACATTGTTCAATGCACTACTGCAAGTACTGTAATGATAGGCAGACATGGTCTAGTTCAAAGGCTCTTCGAAGCATAAAGGGTGCGAGTACGCCGCGTAAATCCATAGAAGCGATATGTGTCTGAAAATAAAAGCTATCCACAGTAGTGCTGTCTGATATTTTAGATACCGTTTATAGGTTTATACAAGGCATTGTCTAATGTTGCAGCCAAGGTTATATTCTTTAATCGAAATCTTTTCCTTCTCAAAGAAGTTGATATGTTTCGTGCGCTCTCCTCCTACCTTGCAACATATCCGCAGCTAGCTTCCGGTCACCATTAAAGAAATTTGGAACTAATTTCCGTTCCCTCTTGGGAGACAATGTAAGCGCCGGTCTCTACGCTCTTCTGACATTTTCTCAGACCGTTGTGTCACTTTTTGTTTCTGATTATAACTGCCCTCCAAATAAGTTATATGTCAACTGACAACCAGAGGGAGAGGGTATATGAGCACGATAACAAAGTTTCAAATAGTCGGAATTAAATTTGCATAATGCAAAGCTCCTCATTCCGTTTCGCTTAGTGAATCCCAACGCTCCATTAACTCAAATACATGTAACGAGGCACTCCTGAAAGCGACAAAGATGCCAGTCGATGTCAAGCAAAATATGCCTACCGATCAGCGGCGATTTGCTGACGAATCCGAGACAGAGCTTCTTGGTCTTTTTTTTCTTTCGGCATTCGTATTTTTGCTCTGGGCTCATTTTTAGGCTCATCGATTTTACTGTCTTCGGATTTCTTCATTTCTTTCTGCTAAAAATTTAAAAATTTTAGAAACATTTTTGAGGCTTTACTGTAAATTATTTACCATGAACTGATTACCGGCAGCTGAGCAATCATTTCATTAACGAATAAGCTGCCATTCATTCTCATAGCTACTGAAACCATTGCCTCCCTAAGACCACTCTCTAATGTATATGATAAAAAAATACTGACGAAAAGAAATGGGATGAAATTCAGCCATTGATGAATAGTCACGAAATATAAAAATTTATGTATTAAAACTGTGCATGCACTCGAGAACAGACAGAATTAAAAATGATAGACGTCATTCTCTGTTTAGAATGTCAAAGGTACGAATGCAAAGTTTGAAAAAGTTTACTATTCTGACCTTCAAGGCCCTGACTATACACATAGCGTGAAGAATGTTATCTACTTTCCATATGCAGATGTCGTCCAGTTTTACCATCTATCTTGCTTGCCAAATGGTCATACTCATCTGTTCAGTGATAGAGATCATTATGAAAATGTTTGATAATATTTTGTTTCAGGATTATTATAAATGAGCAACTCTAATCCGTCCATCTGCGTTTGTAGTCATTTCCTTGGTTAAAATTATCTGAAAACGTATTATGAATCGTGTCAAAATCAGTTAACTGGACCACGTTAGTTCACACTCATCCTGGGATCATGAGGGGCCTTAACATTTATCCTAGCGGCTCAAGGGCACTAGTCCATCACAATTCGTCATGCCATGTAACCCCGTACAATGGCTATTGCCCGCTCTCTGAGACAGGACGGCTGAGGTGTGTAAGAGTATTGTTTTGATGCAATTACGCCCTAATAAATATACTAATCGTTTCATTTTTTGATGCCCGTCTGTTTTACCACTTCGTATTTTTTTTGACTAGTTGAAATTTAAATTACATCTGTTTCTTCAAACTGTGATATTACGTAAATGAAAGTGCTTTTGTTTCCCACTGTGATGCGATTCCTTTTCACATGATTAAAAATGGTGTTTCCATTCAATCAGCAAAACCTTAATTTTAAGCTAAAGTAAAAGTACAATCAATAAAACAAGTACCTGGAAAACTTTTTTCACTCTTGTAAAAAATTCTTCCATTGTCAAATGGAAATCAGCGATGGCCTCCAACACCACCCCGTTTGGAGAAATGAAATATAGGACTGGCACACAAAGCAACGGATCTAAGAGTAACAACATCGATTACGAAATGTAAGTTAATAATTTCTCTTTGTGATATGCAAGTAACAACAACACCAAATCTTCTGACAGATATCTCGGACTGTGAAACAATCAAAATTTTTTTCAATAAAATACTGGAGATGTAAAGTCCTGTTTAACTATCGCTTCGTGTCGCATTTACATACGCCTACCACAGAAATCAATAACAAATGAATTTCGATATGACAAATCTAACATTGTTACCTTCCTGTGTCTGGGTAATTAACAATTATGCACAGGGTTTCCATAGCATGCTTAAAAAGCAGATATTTCAGAACAGTATCAGAGGCAAATAGAAAAAACATCTTAGGGGTCTCTTTTTAGTCAATGAAAACTGCTTAGTCTATTATATCAGAAAAACATGAGACACTGTGAATACTGGTTCTTGAATACTTTAATTTCGATGGGGTTATCGAAACGCACCGCCTGTGAAAGTAAAACACTTTACCACCAAGTTTTACTTTCTGATGCCTAAGCAGTATTTCACTAATAACGTAATAAACGGAATTCCCATGACCGGGAGAAGATGAAAGAAACAGGGATAGGGTACATAATTCTCCCAAAAATTGTAGAGTCCACATGCGAAAAGAGATTAGATGTGATGAAGCAGGTGATGAAACAAAAGCCAAGAACTTCCAACATATCGAGATACGATAAATATAACATTTCTGATCCTGGGCCCGTTTCTGAAAGCTCACGTTAACCAGTATGTTACATTTTATTACCGACGCGTTTCTCTACGCACGCACTAACAGAAACAGACAGTCAGCCGCCGTATTTATAAAAAATATCTCGATTTAAAAAATTCAACAGAATGACGCGAGATTTTAGCGATCATATTCCTACATTTAAATTTTGGAGTTTGATTTCAACAAATCATTGTGTCATTCCAAATTTTCTTAACTTGTTTTATTAATCTGGTAATAGCACGCCAGTTTTCACTTACCACCACCGAAAAGCGGCATTCATTACACATACGTTTCTTCGTCAAAATATGCCGAAACTTCTTCATCAAAAGATAAAGCCCTAACCTGTCTTTATCGATTGCAAATCTATTCGTCTGAACGAAGGAAAGCTCGTTAGAAACGAGATGTTACTCAAGACCAGAATATCAAATATACCTGAGGCAAAATGTAAATAAGGCGGACTTCAACGAGGAGACGCAGAATTTACAGTCTACCGCAACGAGTGCAGAGAATGCGAAAAGAAGCAGGTTGGAAAAACCTATCAGAAATTGAACATTCTGATTACAGAACCCATATATGCAGTCTGCCTCAGACAGGCTTACTACTCTGATATTGTGTAATTGCCCTTTTGAGAGACATTTTCATTTAGGCGAATGTCTTCAATCGACAAAGACTA